TCGAGGCCCACTCTCCCTTCCGGTCCTGGCAGTGGCTCCTCAGGAACCTCCCCAGCTCCTGGTTCATCCTCTCCACCTGCCCGTTAGATTAAGGCCGGTACCCGGAAGTGAGGCTGACCGTGACCCCCAGCTTCTCCATGAAAGCCTTCCATACACGTGACGTGAATTGGGGGCCACGATCGGAGACGATATCCTCCGGAAGGCCATAGTGCCGGAAGACCTGCTGGAACAGTGCCTCAGCGACCTGGAGAGCGGTAGGGAGACCAGAGAGAGGGATGAAACGGCATGATTTATAGAATCTGTCCACAACCACCAGAATGGGACCAGGGATGCTGAGGCACGGGAAGGGGAAGGAGTTTTCCTGCTGGAGCGTGCCGGGGAGATTTAGATTTGAGTACATACTGAACATGAGTTGACATAGTGTGCAACGTCCCGCGCCAAAGTGGGCCACCAGTATTTCTCAGAAAGGAATTGAGTGGTGCTTGTGATACCTGGGTGTCCAGCGGTGAGGGATGTGTGTGTCCAGATCAGCAACCGATCTCTGACCGAGAAGAGGTGGCAGGAGCGGGTTCCCTCTCCAGAACCTGGCAGATGTCCACATCTACGTCCCAAAACACAGGGCCAACGATACCGGAGTACCGATTGATGGGCTGGCGGACACTCACAGGGCCCTCCACCGACGTGGAACCACAGGGTGCGGGAAAGCAGGTCCTCTGACATCCTGGTCCCCAGGCTGTAATTCTCCTCTCTGACCAGGAGATGGTGGGATTATGTAGTTGGAGCCACGGGAGGCAGAGGATGACTTTGTGCACGGGTGTGGAGGTGATGAGGAAGGGAAGCCTTTCCTGGTGCTTGGGTCCCACGGTGAGGGTGAGTGGAGCTGTGACGTGTGTAATAGTGCCGGATCCCAATGGTCGCATATCCAACGCTTGGATCGGAAACGGAGAGGAGAGCAGGTATGAGGTGATGTACAGTGGCTTGCGAAAGTATTCACCCCCCTTGGCATTTTTCCTATTTTATTGCCTTACAACCTGGAATTAAAATTGATTTTTGGGGGTTTGTATCGTTTGATTTACACAACATGCCTACCACTTTGAAGATGCTAAATATTTTTTCTTGTGAAACAAACAACAAATAACACAAAAAAACAGAAAACTTGAGCGTGCATAACTATTCACCCCCCCCCCCCCCCCCCCCCCCCCCCCCCCCCCCAAAGTCAATACTTTGTAGAGCCACCTTTTGCAGCAATTACAGCTGCAAGTCTCTTGGGGGTATGTCTCTATAAGCTTGGCACACCTAGCCACTGGGATTTTTGCCCATTCTTCAAGGCAAAACTGCTCCAGCTCCTTCAAGTTGGATGGGTTCTGCTGGTGTACAGCAATCTTTAAGTCATACCACAGATTCTCAATTGGATTGAGGTCTGAGCTTTGACGGCCATTCCAAGAAATTTATATGTTTCCCCTTAAACCACTCAAGTGTTGCTTTAGCAGTATGCTTAGGGTCATTGTCCTGCTGGAAGGTGAACGTCCCAGTCTCAAATCTCTGGAAGACTGAAACAGGTTTCCCTCAAGAATTTCCCTGTATTTAGCGCCATCTATCATTCCTTCAATTCTGACCAGTTTCCCAGTCCCTGCCGATGAAAAACATCCCCACAGCATGATGCTGCCACCACCATGCTTCACTGTGGGGATGGTGTTCTCGGGGTGATGAGAGGTGTTGGGTTTGCGCCAGACAAAGCGTTTTCCTTGATGGCCAAAAAGCTAAATTTTTGTCTCATCTGACCAGAGTACCTTCTTCCATATGTTTGGGGAGTTTCCCACATGCCTTTTGGCAAACACCAAACGTGTTTGCTTATTTTTTCTTTAAGCAATGGCTTTTTTCTGGCCAATCTTCCGTAAAGCCCAGCTCTGTGGAGTGTACGGCTTAAAGTGGTCCTATGGACAGATACTCCAATCTCTGCTGTGGAGCTTTGCAGCTCCTTCAGGGTTATCTTTGGTCTCTTTGTTGCCTCTCTGATTAATGCCCTCCTTGCCTGGTCCGTGAGTTTTGGTGGACGGCCCTCTCTTGGCAGGTTTGTTGTGGTGCCATATTCTTTTTAAAAAATTAGAATGGATTTAATGGTGCTCCGTTGGATGTTCAAAGTTTCTGATATTTTTTTATAACCCAACCCTGATCTGTACTTCTCCACAACTTTGTCCCTGCCCTGTTTGGAGAGCTCCTTGGTCTTCATGGTGCCGCTTGCTTGGTGGTGCCCCTTGCTTAGTGGTGTTGCAGACACTGGGGCCTTTCAGAACTGGTGTATATATACTGAGATCATGTGACACTTAGATTGCACACAGGTGGACTTTATTTAACTAATTATGTGACTTCTGAAGTTAATTGGTTGCACCAGATCTTATTTAGGGGCTTCATAGCAAAGGAATACATATGCACGCACCACTTTTCCGTTATTAATTTTTTAGAATTTTTTGAAACAAGTTATTTTTTTTCATTTCACTTCACCAATTTGGACTATTTTGTGTATGTCCATTACATGAACTCCAAATAAAAATCTATTTAAATCACAGGTTGTAATGCAACAAAATAGGAAAAACGCCAAGGGGGATGAATACTATAGCAAGGCTCTGTACAGGGAGGAGGCAAAGGGACTGGTCAATAAAGGTCCTTGCGGCACCGGAATCCACTAGAAACAATAGATGAGGGACAGCCAGCTAGTGAGATGGATACTAAAAAAGGTTTGGCGGAAAGTGATGATGATGGAGTACTCACGCCTACCCCAGGAGACGGATGATCACGGGGGCCGTCGCTCTGCTCTCCTAGACCCCGGGTTGGTACGTACCGGACACCGTTGAAGCTAGTTCCCCTCCTGGCTGCAATAAGGGACAGAGCCCCAAACTGTCTCCGACGGCGTCGCTCAGCCGTGTGGCCCCTACCTCCATGGGTTCAGGCTCTGATTCAGAAAAGGTCAACGAAGGAGGGAGAGAGGCAATGGGGGTGCCGACACTCCCATAGAAGGTTATCCAGACGGATGGCCATGGTGATGAGTGTGTCCAAGGTTAGATTGTGGTCTCGGTATGCCAACTCCGTCTGGACCTCTTCCCACAATCCTCTTCTGAGTAGGGTGCAGAGCGCCGGCTCATTCCATCCGCTGGATGCTGCCACTGTCCGGAAGGTGAGCGCGTACTACTGTCTGAAAGGTGAGCTCGTACTACTGTCTGAAAGGTGAGCTCGTACTACTGTCTGAAAGGTGAGCGCGTACTACTGTCTGAAAGGTGAGCTCGTACTACTGTCTGAAAGGTGAGCTCGTACTACTGTCTGAAAGGTGAGCTCGTACTCCGCCGTGGTCTGGCCATCCTGCCGTAGTTGGAGTAGGCGCTCACCCCCCTCTCTGCCCTCCGGTGGATGATCCAAGACCCCCCTGAACAGAGCCATGAACCCCTCATAGGAACCATGCTCCTCCTCTCCTCTCTCCCAGACGGCCGTAGCCCACTCCAACGTCCGTCCGGTCAGCAGGGAAATAACTGTGGAAACCTTGGACCTCTCGGTGGTGAGGGCTCCCATCTGATGAGGGAAATAGAGGGAGTACTGGAGTGGGAAGCCACGGCATTTGGAGGGAGACCCGTCATATTTGTCCGGGAAACAAACGGGCATCGCTGACCTGGGCGAACTGTTGGATGGGCTGGGGTGCTGGCTCGTTGGGTCGACTTGTGGTAGAGAATCCTTTGCTTGTTGGAGGTGACACCCCTCGGGAAATGTCGAGACGTTGAAGAACGCGGAGGACCTCATCCATAGCCGTCCACAGTTGTGCCAGTTGGTCGTGGTATTGGCGAATTAGGTGTCCCTGTTCGCCGACCATCTGGGAGATGTCCTGCTTAACTGCCCCTTCCATTTGTTGAGGCAGTATTCTGTAACGTCGACACAGGGAGTCAGGAAGCAGGTGCAGTTAGTGAGTTTAATAATAACGAACATAGAACGATGTAAAACAAGAGAAACGTCTGACAAGGAAACATTGTCAATACTGCCTGATGACTGATAACAAAAGAGTGCCATATAAAGGGTAAGTAATCAGGGAGTAATGAAGTCCAGGTGTGACTGATGATGAGACGCAGGTGTGCGTAAAGATGGGTTGCCAGGTGTGCGTAAAGATGGGTTGCCAGGTGTGCGTAAAGATGGGTTGCCAGGTGTGCGTAAAGATGGGTTGCCAGGTGTGCGTAAAGATGGGTTGCCAGGTGTGCGTAAAGATGGGTTGCCAGGTGTGCGTAAAGATGGGTTGCCAGGTGTGCGTAAAGATGGGTTGCCAGGTGTGCGTAAAGATGGGTTGCCAGGACTGGTGGTTAGTAGACCGGCGACGTCGTGCGCCGGAGAGGGGGAGTGGTTAACTTCTGAACCGCAGCCTAGGCAGCTACAGGAGGACTTCTGTTAGCTTTAAAATACTAAATATAACATGCAGGTAGAGATACAATTCTGAAAGTAACTGCAGTAATATTTCAGTATTTCAACACAGTAACTCGTTATATTACTCCGTTACTCATAAAAGTAATATATTACTCTAGAGTGATACTTTTGTAATGCATTACTGCCAACACTGCTCAGGTATCACATGAACACACATAAGACATGTCAAAACGTGTAGAATGTAGGGAAATTAGCTTTAAAACTGCATCATTTTCTCTCCGTCCCATGTCAAAACGTGTAGAATTGCATAAACCGAGCTCTAAAACAGCAAAAATATTCTCTCTGCCAACAAAGAGGGGTGTGAACAGTGTGAACAGTTTAGAGTTACATGCATTGCAAGGTGTTTGTTTTCTACTACGCCGATAAATTACAATATCCATCCAAACCTTTGCCACCTGGGAAATGTGTGTGACCGGACCTTCCCAAATAGTAGTCAAGTACCCCTGCACTAGACGGAAAATGTTTCAACCAGTAAAACACTTTCAACCTCTCAAGAACATCATTGGCAACAAGATGTCTTACACCTCCTTTTTTTCCCCCAACAGGAGAATGTCCAGGGTGGTCGTTGTGACCAGTGCAGAGTGGGAACCTTCCACCTGGATCCCACCAACCCTAAAGGCTGCACTTCCTGTTTCTGTTTCGGCGCCACCAACCGCTGTCGCAGCTCAGAGAAACGACGGACTGAGGTAGAGGACAGTACAGCAGACAGGGGTTTGCTCAACAGTTCCATATTTTGTCCACAGGTTCCCAGATTATATTACAACGGACGTAAAACTCAGATTCTGTGCTGCAACACAATTAGCATGTTTTGACTCAATGCTGAGTGGTTTAGGTAAAGTGTGCTAATACTGTACGTATTAACAGTTATGGACAGTGATAAACAGATAACTACCTAAATAATGGAAACATTTGAGTAAATTAGGGATACAAAGTATTGTAAATTGAAAGCAGGTGGAGGTTATTTAACTGACAGACAAACAGACAGGCAATTATATCCAGTAATCCATATCCTCGGCTGCAACATTAACCCCTACTGTAAACCGTTATTCACTTGAGATTATTTGAAGTATTGCACACCTCGTCAGTGCAAGATAGAGTCAGTGCAGATAGTTCTGGTACCATTCATTGACTAGTCTGTCTGTTTAGCAGTCTTGTGGCTTGGGTGTAGAAGCCTGTTGGTCCGAGAGCCGATGCTCCGGTACCGTTTGCCGGACGGTAGCAGAGTGAACAGTCTATGGCTTGGGTGGCTGGAGTATTTGGCAATTTTTCGGGCCTTCCTCTGACACCGCCTGATATAGAGGTCCTGGATGACAGGGAGCTCGGCCCCAGTGATGTACTGCGCTGTCCGCACCACCCTCTGTAGCGCTTTGCGGTCAAGGGCGGTGCATTTGCCATACAACGCGGTGATGCAGCCAGTCAAGATGCTCTCGATGGTGCAGCAGTAGAACTTTCCGAGGGCCCATGCCAAATCTTTTCAGCCTCCTGAGGAGGGTAAAGGGCGCTGCCGTGCCCTCTTCACGACTGTGTGGGTGTGTGTGGACCATGTTAGGTCCTAAGTGATGTTGACGCACTCTACCTGCTCGACAACAGGCCCCGTCGATATGGATGGGGGCGTGCTCTCCCCTCTTTCTTTCTGCTGTAGTCCACGATCAGCTCCCTGGTCTTACTGACGTTGAGGGAGAGGTTGTTGTCCCAGCAACACCCTGCCAGGTCTCTGACCTCCTCCCTGTAGGCTGACTCAACCGTTGTGTCATCAGCAAACTTGATGATGGTGTTGCTGTCGTGCGTGGTCACACAGTCGTGGGTGAACAGGGAGTACAGGAGCGGACTAAGCACAAACCCCTATGGTGTAGAACGCTGAGCTGTAGTCTATGAACAGCATTCTCACATAGTTATTTCCCCTCTTGTCCAGGTGGGAGAGGGCAATGTGAAGTGCAATTGAGATTGTGTCATCTGTGGATCTGTTGGGGCAGTATGCGAACTGGAGTGGGTCTAGGGTGTCTGGGATGATGGTGTTGATGTGTGTCATGACCAGCCTTTCAAAGCACTTCATGATTACAGATGTGAGTGCTACAGGGCGATAGTCGTTTAGGCAGGTTACCTTGGAGCTCTTAGGAACAGGGACAATGGTGGTCAGTTTGAAACATGTTGGGATTATAGACTGGGACTGTCTGGATAGATTGAAAATGTCTGTGAAGACACTTGCCAGCTGGTCTGCGCATGCTTTGAGAACGCGCCCTGGTATTCCGGCCTTGTGATTGTTAACCTGTTTAAACGTTTTGCTCACATCGACCACGGAGAGCGAGATCACACAGTCATCTGGAAAAACAGGGGCTTTCACTGTGAGGACGACATCGTCTATGCACTTATTGATGAAGCCCGTGACTGTTGTGGTAAACTCCTCAATGCTATCAGATGAATTCTGGAACATATCCCTGTCTGTACTAGCAAAACAGTCTTGTAGCCTCGTGACTGCTTCATCGGACCGCTTCCATATTGAGCGCATCACTTGTACTTCCTGTTTGAGCTTTTGTTTGTAAACAGGAAGCAGGAGAATGGAGTCATGGTCAGATTTGCTGAAGGGAGGACAAGGGAGGGCTTGTATGTGTTTCTGTGGGTAGAATTAAAGTGGGCTAGAGTTTTTGCGCCCCTAGTGGCGCAGAAGAGGTCTTGGTAGAAGTGAGGTAGGAAGGTTTTAAGTCTCCCCGAGTTAAAGTCTCCGCCCACCAGAAACGTTGCCTCTGGGTGAGCGGTTTCAATCAAATGTATTTTATAAAGCCCTTTTTACATCAGCAGTTTTCACAAAGTGCTATACAGAAACCCAGCCTAAAACCCCAAACAGCAAGCAATGCAGATGCATTGCACGGTGGCTAGGAAAAACTCCCTAGAAAGGCAGGAACCTAGGAAGAAACCTAGAGAGGAACCAGGCTCTGAGGAGTGGCCAGTCCTCTTCTGGCTGTGCCGGGTGGAGATTATAAGAGTACATGGCCATTTAACGCCAGATTGTTCTTCAAGATGATCAAACGTTCGTAGATGACCAGCAGGGTCAAATAATAATCACAGTGGTTGTAGAGGGTGCAACAGGTAAGTACCTCAGGAGTAAATGTCAGTTGGCTTTTCATAGCCGAGCATTCAGAGGTCGACACAGCAGGTGCGGTAGAGAGAGAGGGAGAGTCGAAAACAGCAGGTCCGGGACAAGGTAGCACATCCAGTGAACAGGTCAGGGTTCCCTAGCCACAGACAGAACAGTTGAAACTGGAGCAGCAGCACGGCCAGGTGGACTGGGGCCAGCCAGGAGTCATCAGGCCAGGTAGTCCTGAGGCATGGTCCTAGGGCTCAGGTCCTCCGGGAGGGGAGGGAGAGAGAATTAGAGGGAGCATACTTAAATTCACACAGGACACCAGATAAAGCAGGAGAATGACAACACATATAACAGACATACCCTAACCCCCCGGCACAAAGACTATTTCAGCATAGATACTGGAGACTGAGACAGGGGTGGGTCGGGGGACACTGTGGCCCCGTCCGACGATACCCCCGGACAGGGCCAACCAGGCAGGATATAACCCCATCCACTTTGCCAAAGCACAGCCCCCACACCACTAGAGGGATATCAACAGACCACCAACCTACTACCCTGAGACAAGGCTGAGTATAGCCCACCAACCTACTACCCTGAGACAAGGCTGAGTATAGCCCACGAAGATCTCCTCCACCGCACGAGCCCGAGGGAGCGCAAAACCGGACAGGAAGATCACGTCTGTGACTCAACCCACTCAAGTGATGTACCCCTCCTAGGGACGGCGTGGGAGAGCACCAGTAAGCGAGTGACTCAGCCCCCGTAATAGGGTTAGAGGCAGAGAATCCCAGTGGAGAGGGAGGGGAGCCGGCCAGGCGGAGACAGCAAGGGCGGTTTGTCGCTCCAGTGCCTTGCAGTTCACCTTTGCACCCCTGGGCTAGACTACACTCAATCATAGGACCTTCTGAATAGATGAGTCTTCAGTAAAGACTTAAAGGTCAAGACCAAGTCTGCGTCTCTCACATGGATAGGCAGACCATTCCATAAAAATGTTGCTCTATAGGAGAAAGCCCTGCTTCCAGCTGTTTTCTTAGAAAGTCTAGGGACAATAAGGAGGCCTGCGTCTTGTGACCATAGCGTACGTGTAGGTATGTACGGCAGGACCAAATCGGAGAGATAAGTAGGAGCAAGCCCATGTAATGCTTTGTAGGTTAGCAGTAAAACCTTGAAATCAGCCCTAGCCTTAACAGGAAGCAATATGATTGAATTTGTTGGTTCTATTCAGGATTCTAGCAGCCGTGTTTAGCCCTAACTGAAGTTTATTTAGTGCTTTATCCGGGTAGCCGGAGAGTAGAGCATTGCAGTAGTCTAATCTAGAAGTGACAAAAGCATGGATTAGCTTTTCTGCATAATTTCTGGACAAAAAGTGTCTGATATTTGCAATGTTATGAAGAAAAAAGCTGTCCTTGAAATATTCTGGATATGTTCGTCAAAAGAGAGATCAGGGTCCAGAGTAACGCCAAGGTCCTTCACAGTTTTATTTGAGACGAATGTACAGCCATCGAGATTAATGGTCAGATCGAACAGCAGATCTCGTTGTTTCTTGGGACCTAGAACTAGCATCTCTGTTTTGTCCGAGTTTAAAAGTAAAAAGATTGCCGCCATCCACTTCCTTATGTCTGAAACACAGGCTTCCAGGGTAGGCAATTTTCTCTGTGTTTCATTGAAATGTACAGATGTGTGTCGTCTGCATAGCAGTAAAAGTTGACATTGTGTTTCCGAATGACATCACTAAGAGGTAGAATATATAGTGAAAACAATAGTGGTCCTAAAACAGAACCTTGAGGAACTCCGAAACGTACAATTGATTTGTCAGAGGTCAAACCATCCACAGAGACAAACTGATATCTTTCCGACAGATAAGATCTAAACCAGGCAAGAACTTGTCCGTGTAGACCAGGGGTGTCAAAGTCAAATGGACGGAGGGCCAAATAAAAAATTTAGCTACAAGCCGAGGGCCGGACTGTTCGAATGTTCATTGAAAAATTTTTAAATGACGCATATAGTCTAGTGAACCTAATTGAACCTACTGAAAACCTAACAAATATATTCCAATATGATCAGATAAATAAAGCAATATTTTCTTATGGCTCTGTCAGTAATCTTTAATTTTCAACAGACACAAAAGACAAATTTCCTTTATATAAAAATCCCCATAACATTAACATTAAATGAAAGAAACCGGTATTCAAGGCACCATCAGTAGCCTATATTTTCTATTTTAGCAAAAGTGGGCTAAATTTACTTCAAAGAAAAAAACAATAATAGCAATTTTCTATCATCCACTCAACTGAAATATTTTTAAAATATAATTGGATTGAAATACAATAAAATAAAGTGCAAAAATCTATTAATCAAAAACAACACTTTGTTTAAGGAGAAGTAACATGCAGTGAAAACAAATATTAAACTTTAACTTTTAAACTTGAACTGAGTAAAAACTCTAAATATGTGATTGCACAGTAATGTTCACTTGTTTGAGGTTGAGGGTGATACTTGGTGGTGTCCCATCTTTTCCACAAGTTCATCAATGTTCGGGGTAAGGCTCTGAGCTGAGGAAATCCTCAGAATTGAGTGGAGGTGTTCAGCAGTAAGTCGACTTCTGTGTGATGTTTTGTTCAGGTTCATCAAAGAAAACAGTTGTTCACACAGGTATGTGCTGCCAAACATAGACAACGTTTGAGCAGCCTGGATGCGCAGCTGGGGCATTTGTTCCATGTCCATATTCTTGTTTTTGTCCGCGTGTTTCGTTTCATAATGTCGTCTCAGATTATACTCTTTCAGTACCGCCACACTTTCTCCACACAGAAGACACACAGGTTTTCCAGCTACCTCCGTGAACATATACTCCGACTCCCACCTTGTTTGAAACCCCCGGTTCTCAGTGTCCACCTTCCGTTTTGCCATTTTTGATGGGTATCTGAAAGTTAATTTTACTGTGATGCTGACGACTGCTGTGCCAATAAATATTGAAATGAAGCAGCCTACTGCTCGGTGCGTCACCGTTGCATTGTGGGAAATGTAGTATTGGTGCGTGTAAAAGATCTGCGGGCTGCCGGCTTGCTGCGGTCTGCGGGCCGGTTCTAATAATAAATCAAGATCATCCCAGGGGCCGTAAAAAACCTTCTCGCGGGCCGGATGTGGCCCGCGGGCCTTGACTCTGACATATGTGGTGTAGACCAATTAGGGTTTCCAATCTCTCCAAAAGAATGTGGTGATCGATGGTGTCAAAAGCAGCACTAAGGTCTATGAGCGCGAGGACAGATGCAGAGCCTTGGTCTGACGCCATCAAAAGGTTTCTTGTTTCTTTATGGCCCCATACAGTTTGTTGAGTGCCAGAGTGGTGTTGGCTTGGGGAGGGATGTAGACAGCTGTGATAATTACGGATGAGAACTCTCTTGGTAGATAAAAGGGTCCGCAGCTTACCATGAGGTAAGTATCTATATCAGGTGAAGAAAAGCTAGAGATTTCCTTCACACTTGAAGTAGCACATCAGTTGTTATTTATGAAAAAACACACTCCACCTCCTTTGAACTTCCCCGAAGCCGTTGTAGGATCCTGTCGCTGCATGGAGAATCCACCGAGTACTACGTGCATAGCGTCATCATCCAGCCACGTTTCAGTAAAACATATATAATATTGCAGCTTTTCAAATCTCTCTGATAGGACACTCTCGAACGAAGCTCATCCATCTTATTCTCGAGTGACTGGAAATTTGGCAATAGAACGAAGGGGAGCGCCATTCGGTTTTTCTCTTCGCCTCAATTTCACCCGAACTCCGTCTGGTCTCCCGCGACGTTTTGGTAGCCCATTGAACAAAGGAATAAGGTCCGGTATGAACAGTGGAGCAGGTCGGAGTTGAAGTCGTATTTGAAGTCGAAATCGAGGTTAGTAACTGTCGATCTGATGTCCAGAGGTGCTTGGTGGTCATGTGATAATATTATGAACTTTCTATACAAAACGAGTAAAGATAAACACGACAGTCGCAACTCAACAATCATCTATTTGGTATTTGCCCCATGCGCTGCCCAAATTGCGTTTCCTTCCGACGGTAGGCAACGCGATTTAAAACAATCTACATCTTATAGAAGCTAATGATGTCACGTTCGTTGTGTAAAGGATCGGACCAAGGTGCAGCGTGGTATGCGTACATAGTCGTTTATTTTAATAAACACTGACAAAATAGCAAAATCCAATAGAACGTGAAGTTCAAGAGGCTAAACATCAAACAGAAACAAAGATCCCACAACTAAGGTAGGCAACATGGCTGCCTAAGTATGATCCCCAATCAGAGACAACGACCGACAGCTGCCTCTGATTGGGAACCACACCCAGCCAACATAGAAATATATAAATTAGATTTCACACCCTGACCAACCCAACTAGAGATCTCAATGTCAGGGCGTGACAATAGATCATCTGTGTCCAAATCATGCTTTTTGGTGTAGTAACTTGTCTTGAATGATTTGATTTATTTCTGTATAGACAGGAGTAGGCTAATTAGGCTATATCATTTTAGCTATTTAATTCAATTTATTTTATAGGGAGCAGACCGACAGGAAGTGTTATGTTATGTTATTATAATGTTATGTTTTAGGTGATGGATATCATAGGCCGGGTGCTGTAAGGAGCAGACAGACAGGAAGTTCCTGTGACGGTGTATAAATGTTATGCTATGTTATTGTAATGTTATATTAATATAACCTGTGTATTGTGATAAACTTCCAGGTGTTGGACATGATGGACTGGGTGTTGCTGGGAGCAGACAGACAGGAAGTCCCTGTGACGGTGTATAAATGTTATGCTATGTTATTGTAATGTTATATTAATATAACCTGTGTATTGTGATAAACTTCCAGGTGTTGGACATGATGGACTGGGTGTTGCTGGGAGCAGACAGACAGGAAGTCCCTGTGACGGTATATCCTGGTCAGGATCTGGTGGAAGCAGACCTTGGTGACGTACCCGATGTCTACCAAGACCTCCACTGGAACGCTCCTAGAACCTACCTGGGAGACAAGGTACGGACAAATACCATACAATAAACTTTATTGTTCCCCAAAGTCTTGGACACACAATCCTGCTGTAAATAGTAATAGATAACATATTTTACACACAGTACATACATTGCATGACCCCCCCCCCCAAAGGTCACAAAGACTCACAGCGGGTCCAAGAGTTAAAATGTTTAAATGGAGGAGCGCAGATCACCTGTAGCCAAAACAACAGAGATTGTTTCACATGATAAAGGAAAGGGAGCGAGAGGCTTAAACTCAGTCGCCCTATAGCCCAGTGACTGTTAAACAGTAACCGGGCCTTGTGCAGACGGGAGAGGGCGGGGCTTAGGGATGAGTGGAATAAATGCTTCGGTAGGTGTAATTGAGCCAGAGGCCCTCATAGAGGTACTGTGTTCACGATGCCAAGGAGAGGGAGAGAGGGGTGAGGGTTGGCGGTGAGGGTTTGCAGGGGGGCAAAAGGAGGCTAAATCAGATTACACTACTGCTAAGGGCTTCATATAGTACACATACACAGTCCAGAGGCTGTGGAGACAGACAGCGGGTATAGAGTTGTTTTGTCTAGAATATATAACACCTTTAATGTTAGATCTGATCTTTCTCTTTGAACATACCTAGTAACCTTCCTCTAGGATTTATTGTCTGACCACCAGTCTGTCTGTCTGTCTGTCTGTCTGTCTGTCTGTCTGTCTGTCTGTCTGCCTCTCTGTTTCTCTATCTCTCTCTGCTTCATTATCTCTCTCCATCTGTAAATCTATCCCCCCTCTCTCCCCCTCTCTCTCTCTCTCTCTCTCTCTCTCTCTCTCTCTCTCTTTCTCTCTCTCTCTCTCTTCATCTCTCTCTAGGTATCGTCTTATGGAGGCTATCTGCGGTATCATCTCCACACTCAGACTATGAGAGGAGATGTTCTCTCTCTTCCCGCTGAGGCCTCTCGACCTGACATCATTCTCAAGGTAGACATCACAGTGTACCTTGGCTTTACATCTAAACAGATTACGAAGATGTACTTTGTACATTATTACGAAGATGTACTTTATTACGAAGATGTATTTTGTACTTTATTACAAAGATGTACTTTATTACGAAGATGTACTTTGTCTTTTACCCTTGTGTTTAGTGTCCTTTAATGTCTATGGAAGAAATGATGTGTTTGCCACTTGACATAAACTTAACTATTAGTAAAGAGCGCTGAAGCCTGGTAAAAGGTTGTGTATTTCTTGTGGAAACGGCTGTCTGTGTGTGTCAGGAAGCCAGACGAACAGTGAACTGAAGGTTGGCTAGTGTATCTCTGCTGTTAAAAGATATGTCTGTGTGTGTGTGTCTCTGTGTCTACAGGGTAACCAGATGACCCTGGTGTTCATGGAGAAAGAATACTCTTCACCTGAAGAACCACACCTGGGGATAGTCCACATGCTAGAGGTATGACACTGACCTGACCACCTGGGGATAGTCCACATGCTAGAGGTATGACACTGACCTGACCACCTGGAGATAGTCCACATGCTAGAGGTATGACACTGACCTGACCACCTGGAGATAGTCCACATGCTAGAGGTATGACACTGACCTGACCACCTGGAGATAGTCCACATGCTAGAGGTATGACACTGACCTGACCACCTGGGGATAGTCCACATGCTAGAGGTATGACACTGACCTGACCACCTGGAGATAGTCCACATGCTAGAGGTATGACACTGACCTGACCACCTGGGGATAGTCCACATGCTAGAGGTATGACACTGACCTGACCACCTGGAGATAGTAGATCACTGACTGTTTACATCTAAATACCTATTTGCAGTCCAACCAGAAGATTACAATCTAACTGCAATATTCTGCAATATTCTGACATATACATGAATGACATCATCATGACACCCATGCCTACTCTCACCCCTCCCTCTCTCTCTCTCTCTCTACCCCCCAGGGAAGTTTCCGCCACGCCCAGACGGGGAACGTGGTGTCTAGAGAGGAACTGATGATGGTTCTGGTGGGGTTAGAGTCTCTCCAGATCAGAGCTCTCCACTCCCAGTCCGCCCACACTGTGTCGCTACGCGGGGCGGCGCTGGAGGTGGCACAGACCCTGCCCACCGGGCGACATGCCAACAACGTAGAGATCTGCCTCTGTCCTGCTAACTACCAGGGAGACTCCTGTCAGGTTGGTGTTGTTATTACTGTTTTTACTGTGCTAACGTTGCATCAGTTGATACTGGTTTGTTAATAGCTACAGTTAGCGCATGTGCGAGGGATTATTACTGCACTCACAACACCTTTTAGGGATTATTACTGCACTCACAACACCTTTCAGGGATTATTACTGCACTCACAACACCTTTTAGGGATTATTACTGCACTCCACAAACACCTTTTAGGGATTATTACTGCACTCACAACACCTTTTAGGGATTATTACTGCACTCACAACACCTTTCAGGGATTATTACTGCACTCACAAACACCTTTAGGGATTATTACTGCACTCACAACACCTTTTAGGGATTATTACTGCACTCACAACACCTTTTAGGGATTATTACTGCACTCACAACACCTTTCAGGGATTATTACTGCACTCACAACACCTTTCAGGGATTATTACGGCACTCACACACTTTTAGGGATTATTACTGCACTCACAACACCTTTTAGGGATTATTACTGCACTCACAACACCCTTTAGGGATTATTACTGCACTCACAACACCTTTTAGGGATTATTACTGCACTCACAACACCCTTTAGGGATTATTACTGCACTCACAACACCTTTCAGGGATTATTACTGCACTCACAACACCTTTTAGGGATTATTACTGCACTCACAACACCTTTCAGGGATTATTACTGCACTCACAACACCTTTTAGGGATTATTACTGCACTCACAACACCTTTTAGGGATTATTACTGCACTCACAACACCTTTTAGGGATTATTACTGCACTCACAACACCTTTTAGGGAAAGGAGGTTACCTGGTCAGTTGCACAACTGAATGCATTCAACCAAAATGTGTCTTCCTCATTTAACCCAACCCCTCTGAATCAACGTCCACGTCATCGGCGCCCTGGAAGCAGTTGTTGTTGTGGGTTAACTGTCTTGCTCAAGGGCAGAACGGCAGATTTTACCCACCTTGCCGGCTCGGGGATTCGAACCAGCGACTTTTTGGTTACTGGCCCAACACTCTTACCCTCTAGCTGCCTACAATGTGTGGGTCCATTTATGTAGATACACTAATCCTATATGATTAGGTTTATGTAGATACACTAATCCTATATGATTAGGTTTATGTAGATACACTAATCCTATATGATTAGGTGTGATGAAGCAAGGAATTATATGTCCATAAATTAGTTCATACAGATAGGAATCAAGTCTGAATCTCTCTTCTCTCATTTCTCTCTCTGTCCCTCCTCCCTCCCTCTTTCCTTCTCACTCTCTCTCTCCTCTCGTCTACTCCTACTCGCTCGCTCTCTCCTCTCTCTCTCTCTCTGCTCCGCTCTGTCCGTTCAACGTTCTCCTCCGCCTCCTCCTCCTCCTCCTCCTCCTCCTCCCTCTCTCTCTCTCTCTCTCCTCCTCCTCCCCACTCCTCCCTCCTCTCTCTCCCTCTCCCTCTCTTCCCTCCTTTCTCCCCCCTCTCCAGCAATGTGCTCCAGGGTACTACAGAGACACTAAAGGTCTGTTCCTGGGGAAGTGTGTTCCCTGTAACTGTAACGGCCACTCTGACCAATGTCTGGACGGGTCTGGAGTCTGTGAGGTGAGTGCAGTTTTTAGTTTAGTCTCAAACAAACAAACATGATAGGTTACTCCTGGATGGGTCAGGAAGCTGTGTCAATATGGAAGATGCACACTCTCCACTCTTTGCAAGGAACTTTTATTGACATCAATGTTTTGCCTTTCCAGCTGAGTTATAGTCAGCGCTATAACAACGCTATAACGATAATCAGCACCTCACCTTCATTGTTCATTTCTTTATACTTCCTTGAGGGGAGTTCTCAAGAGATAACAATAAGATAACGCAGATGGTAGATTTTACAACATCGTTAACATCAGTGGGACCGAGGAGAGGAAGTGTTTTAACTACTGCTTGAAGCACTGAACATTTATTTTACCCTTATTTTACCAGGTAAGTTGACTGAGAACACCATCCTCATTTTAAAGCTACGACCTGGGGAATAGTTACAGGGGAGAGGAGGGGGGGATGAATGAGCCAATTGGAAGCTGGGGATGATTAGGTGGCCAAGATGGTATGAGGGCCATATTGGGAGTTTAGCCAGGACACCGGGGGTTAACACCCCAACTCTTACGATAAGTGCCGTGGGATCTTTAGTGACCACAGAGAGTCAGGACACCCGTTTAACGACCCATCCGAAAGAGTGCACCCTACACAGGTTAATGTCCCCAATCACCGCCCTGGCCTCCTACTGACACCACTGTTCTCCATGTTTTATGACTCAAATAATCATTGATATAGTACCCCCCCCCCCCCCCCCCCCCCCCCCCCCAAAAAAAAAAGGCTTAGCATTTTAAGGCCAGGCACCACAGTCTGAAATTAAATGTTTTGCATCTACCTATCAATTTTGAGATTTGTTGGGATTTGGTCCATTCATATATTAACATAAACATGTCAAAAACTTGATGAAAATGTATATTTTCTTTAGTTTATCATCAACATTTTAACACATTTTAACCACTTTAAAATGGACACACATCAATAATTTAAAAGATCACTACATTAAATTACACATTACAAAAAAAGGCCATTTCATAGACAGTGTTAGAAATTGGACTACACTGTGTACAAAATATGAAGAACACCCCCCCTTTGCCCTCAGAACAGCCTTTTTTGACACACTCAAACCGGTGCGCCTGGCACCTACTGTCATATCCCGTTCAAAGGCACTTAAATATTTTGTCTTATTCATTCACCCTCTGAATGGCACACATACACAATCCAAGTCTCAATTGTCTCAAGGCTTAAAAATCCTTATTTAACCCGTCTCCTCCCCTTCATCTACACTGATGTGAAGTGGATTTAACAGGTGACATCGATAAGGGATCATAGCTTTCACCTGGATTCACCTGGTCAGTCTATGTACACTGGGTGTATATTTAGTAACTTACTTTGAAGAGATGGTGATTGGGTCTAAATAGGTGTTTGGCGATTGGTCTAAATTCAGTGTCCTCTGCAACGGCCATTTCCCAAAAGTCACTCTTCCCACACACCAACTAATTTCTTCGCAGTTTCAGAAGCATCTGCAGTTCACCAAATTGTGTGTTGGTTATCCTTAGATATATTCTGCAGACTTGCCCAGAGGGAATTGTTGATATGTTGTAAATGTATTATTCTAGTTTTTTTTTTTATTATTTTTGAAAAATGCGCCAAAAATGCATTTGACAAACATGTATTTTGTATTTTACAGATAGAAAGATGAAAAGTATTTATCCACAATCTACTCTGGACAAGTCCGGTCCTGGAGTGTCTTAACATAACGAAACCAAAATATTTAGGCTGACTTTATCCAGTGTCCAGAAAAATGGATTTGCGCATTATGCAAATATGCATTTTATGAGATATCGCCTCATTTGCATATCTTAATAAAATATTTCAGAGAAATTGTAATACCAAAAAAAATATTTGTGTCTACGTTCAACTGGTAAAAGTTGATTGTGATATGACCAAGGGGGAAAAATTACCCTATGAGGGTGTGGTGCCTGGCTTTAATGTCTACGATTCCTTACTCTTATCATGTTGTTGTTGTTGTTGTTGTTGTTTCTCTCAGAACTGTCAACACAACAGGGCTGGAGACCACTGTGAAAAGTGTCAGGGTGGTTTCCTTGGTAACAACTCTCTGGATGGACACGCCCAGTCCTGTGACACCTGCCCCTGTCCTCTGCAAGTGGCCTCCAACAAGTCAGTAACCTCCTCTTCTTTTCGACTCCCCTCTTTCTCTCACCCTTCATTCACCCCTTCTATTGCTCAGCTTTCACATATTGTACAAACTGGTTGGTTTGTTTTCCCGACTACGACTTCCGACTTCAATTGAATCTCTCTCCTGTGTAGTTTTGCAGTGGGCTGTGTAGAGAAACCCAACAGGATGCAGTGCCTGTGTATGCCTGGCTACGCTGGGCCCAAGTGTGCAAGGTCAGTACTACATAGAATGTTGATAAATGGCATATATATTATACAGGTATATTATTATGACATGGCTGTGATATGTGACATGTTGCTGTGAGTCTACAAGTTTAACTGGAAGTGAAGAGAGCAGTTTTATGAAGAAGTTTTATGTTTTTTTATTTACTGAAATAATTTTGGGACTTTTAACAAATACACTTGTGCCCATTACTGTCTCCGCCTCCTTTCTCCTGTCTCCTCCCTCTCCCAGGTGTGCTCCCGGTTTCTATGGTAACCCCATGGTGATTGGCAGCACGTGCCAGCCCTGCCGTTGCCATGACAACACGGACCCCAACATGCTGTTCAGCGACTGTGACGGGCTGACGGGCGAGTGCCACAGCTGCATGCACAACACCGCCGGGACAACTCAATCGGCCCCTTCAGTGACCCACCACCCCAGAACCACCACGTAAACCCCAACAGCCACGCCACTACACCACACACACACACACACACACACACACACACACACACGACCACCACACACAACACACACACACCACACACTCACAAAACACACACAACACGCACACCACACACACAACACACCACCATACAACCACACCAAACACACACCCACCACCACACAAACACAAACACACACACAACACACACAACACACACCCCAAACACACAACACAACACACACACAACAACCACACACAAACACACACACACACCCCCACACAACACACAACACACACACACACCCCACCCCAACACACACACACACACACACAACCCCACACACACACACACACACACACACACACCACACACACACACCACACAACACAACACACACCCCAACACACAACACACACACACACAACACACACACAAAACACACACCACACACCACAACACACACACAACCACACACACACACACACAACCCACACACACACACACACTCACACACACACACACACCACACACACACACACACACACTCCACACTCACCCCACACACCACACACACACACACACACACAACCACACCACACCTCACACACACACACACACACACACACAACACACACACACACCCACCAACACACACACATCGAAACACACATCACACACCACACCCACAAACACCCACACACACAACCCACACACACACACACAGACAACACACACACACACACACACACACACACACACAACCACACACACACACACACACACACCCACCCACACACCACACACTCACACACTCACACACACCACACACACACACACTCTCACACACACAACACACACACACACACACACACACACACTTGAGCACACGGACGTGCGCATGCAAACACACCACACTCTAGGCTAATCCCAGTTTACATAGCTTCTCCCTCCCTGCACTACATTTCTTTCTCTTTATTTTCAGGAAGTCTCAAAGACTAGTTCTGTTTTCACAAGGTCTTAATCTCTTTTAACCTTCTATAATGAATCCAGCTGGTTCTCTGTGAGAAGTGTTTAGCTGTTTAGCTGTTGCAGTGTTTAGTGATTCCACATCTCCCTGTGCATGACTTCCTGTTGGTGCCATTAGGTGGAGTTGCTACGATAACCCCTGTCTTATTTACCCAGGATGCAACTGTTCCCCATGTGGCACGGCGTCATGTGACCCTCACACAGGACAGTGCCAGTGTAAACCTGGTGTGAGCGGGCTCTCCTGTGACTGCTGTGAGGTTCGTCCTCGGTTTATTTCACTTATTCACACTCATGAATATTATGACAATAATGCCTCTTAACTCATCTCGGAATCCAGAACCAAACAAATATTGTCAGAGACTAACTCTTAACCAACTTATATAAACCGAAATACATCATTGATCCTGGTTGCTTGTCTCTGGCAAGCTTATTTTTCATGGTTAGTTACGGTATCCTCATTACCTAGCTATGTCAATAATGTGTTGTATTTCAGGACGGTGCGTTTGGCTATGACTCCTGCTCTGGGTGTCGTCGATGTGACTGTGACGCGGCTGCGGCCCTGGTCCAACCGTGTGACCCCAGGAACGGTTCGTGTGCCTGCCAGCCAGGGGTCAAGGGGCCTAACTGTCGCCAGTGTGCTCCTGGGTACTGGTCCTACAGTCCTGAGGGCTGCAAGAGTGAGTTACACCTGCCTCATACACGCTTAGAAAAAAGGCTTCCAAAAGGGTTCTTCGGCGGTCCCTCATAGGATAACCCTTTTTGGTTGCAGGTAGAACCCTTTTTGGTTCAAGGTAGAACTCTTTTGGGTTCCATGTAGAACCCTCTGTGGAAACAGTTTTACATGGAACCCAAAGGGGTTCTACCTGGAACCAAAAGGGTTCTACCAGGAACCAAAAAGGGTTCTTCAAAGGGTTCTCCTATGGGGACAGCCGAATAACCCTTTTCGGTTCTAGAGCACATTTTTTTTCTAAGAGTGTCAGCCAATCAGCATTCAGGGCTCGAACCACCCAGTTTATAATATAGAAGTATACACTGAGTGTACAAAACATTAAGAACACGTTCCTAATATTGAGTTGCACCCCCTTTTGCCCTCAGAACAGCCTCAATTGGTCTGGACCTGGACTCTACAAGTTGTCGAAAGCGTTCCACAGGAATGCTGGCCCTCGTTGACTCCAATGCTTCCCATAGTAATGTCAACTTGGCTGGAAACTGTTGGAAACTGCCGAACGTGAAAAACCCAGCACCGCTGCAGTTCTTTACACACTCAAACCGGTTGCGCCTGGCACCTACTACCATACCCCGCTCAAAGGCACTTTGTCTTGCCCATTCACCCTCTGAACGGCACACATACACAATCCATGTCTCAATTGTGTCAAGGCTTAAAAATCCTTCTTTAACCTGTCTCCTCCCCTTCATCTACACTGATGTGAAGTGGATTTAACAGGTGACATCAAACAAAGGGAATCATAACTTTCACCTGGATTCACCTGGTCAGTCTATGTCATGGAAAGATTTTCCTAATGTTTTGTGCATAGTATATAACCAGGCGTCCCGGTAATCGAACCCGCAATCCTGGCGTTGCAAGCGCCGTGCTCTACTAACTGAACCATACAAGAAGACAAGTTGGAAGTTCGGGTATATGCAAGATGTGGACTAGCCTTAACACTGTGTGTGTGTGTGTGTGTGTGTGTGTGTGTGTGTGTGTGTGTGTGTCTTCCGTTCTCTTCAGAGTGTGAGTGTAAGCATGGGCGCTGTGACCCTCGGACAGGGGAGTGTCGCTGTGGAGACGGCCTGACAGGCAAACAGTGTGACAGCTGTTCCCATAGATACAGTGTTCCTGTACAACACGGACATGATATGACCTGTGAACGTAAGTACTGGGTCTGTTATTGAATCCATATCTACTGTAAGGTGTATTGGCATTTTTACTTTACTGTGATTTTATTTGAGAAGGAGAGATGGAGACAGGGAGAGATGGACAGGGGGAGGGGGAGAGATAGACATGGGGGAGGGGGAGGGGGAGAGGAGATAGACGGGGAGGGGGAGAGAGAAATGACGGGGGAGGGGGAGAGATGGATGGGGAGAGATGGACAGGGGGGGGGCGGGGAGAGTATAGGACGCGGGGAGGGGAGAGATGCGTCAGGGGGGGGGAAGAGATAAGACGGGGAGGGGGAGAGATGGTCAGGGGAGAGGGGGAGAGAGGAGAGAGATAGACGGGGGGAGGGGGAGAGTATGGAAAGGGGGAGGGGGGGGAGAGATAGACGGGGAGGGGGAGAGATGGTTCAGGGGGCAGGGGGAGAGGATGGAAAGGGGGAGGGGGGGGTGGTAGAGATGGGAAAAGGGGAAGGGGAGAGATGGACAGGGGGAGAGAGACCGGGGGAGGGGAGAAGAGAGGTAAAGGGGAGGGGAGAGATAGGAGAGATGGGGAGGGGGAGGGGAGAGGAGATGGGGAGGGGGGGGAGGAGCGAGTATGGACCAGGGGGATGGGGAGATGGACAGGGGGAGGGAGGAGAAGAGGAGGAGAGGGGGAGATGGGGAGGGGGGAGGAGAGAGAGGGAAAGGGGGAGAGAGAGAGGGGAAAGGGGGGGGGAGGGGGAGAGATGAAAGGGGGAGGGGGAGAGATGGATCAGGGGGAGGAGAGAGAAAGGGACAGGGGGAGGAGACGAGATGGACAGGGGTGAGGGGGAGAGATGGAAAGGGGGGAGGGAGGGGAGAGAGGGGGAGGGGAGGGGAGGCGGAGAGAGGGGGAGGGGGAGGAGGAGATGACAGGGGGAGGGGGAGAGATGGGGAGGGGGGGAGGTTGAGGGGGAGAGAGAGAAAGAGGGAGGGGGAGAGATGGACAGGGGGAGGGGAGGAGAGCAGAAAAAGAGATGGGAGGGGGAGGGGAGAGAGGGAAAGGGGGAGGGGAGAGATGGACAGGGGGGGGGAGGAGGGGATAGGGGGAGGAGAGAGATGGGGAGGGGGAGGGGAGAGAGGAAAGGGGGAGGGGTAGAGATGGACAGGGGAGGAGAGAGATGGAAAGGGGAGGCTGAGACAAGGAGAGATGGACAGGGGGAGGGGAGAGGAGCGATGGACAGGGGGAGGAGAGAGAGTGTGGGGGAGGGGGGGAGGGGGAGAGGTGGACAGGGGGAGGGGAGAGGATGGAAAGGGGAGGAGATTTTTTCTTTGGATGGGGAGGGGGAGGAGAGAGAGGGACAGGGGGAAGGAGAGAGAGGGAAGAGGGAGGGGGAGAAATGACAGGGGGAGGGGAGAGGAGAGAGGGGGGAGGGGGAGGGGGAGAGAGATGGGACAGGGGGGAGGGGGAGAGATGGACAGGGGGGAAGGAGAGATATGGGGAGGGGGAGGAGAAGAGAGATGGGGAGGGGGAGGGGAGAGATGGACAGGGGGGAGGGTAGAGATGGACAGGGGGAGGAGAGAGAAGACAGGGGGAGGAGAGAATGGACAGGGGGAGGAGAGAGATGGACAGGGGAGGGAGAGAGGAAAGGGGGAGGAGAGAGATGGGGAGGGGGAGGGGGAGAGATGGAAGGGGGAGGGAGAGGGGGAGAGATGGACAGGGGGGGGGGGAGAGATGGACGGGGGGAGGAGAGGAGATGGACAGGGGGAGGAGAGAGGATAGGAAAGGGGGAAGGAGAGAGAGGGAGAGAGGGAAAGGGGGGGGGAGGGGGAGAGATGGGGGAGGGGGAGGAGAGATGGGGAGGGGGAGGAGAGAGAGGACAGGGGGGAGGGAGAGATGGAAAGGGGGAGGAGAGAGAGGGACAGGGGGAGGGAGGAGAGATCGAGAGATGGGAGGGGGGAGGGAGAGAGGGACAGGGGAGGAGAGAGATGGGAAAGGGGGAGGGGAGAGGGAGAGATGGAAAGGGGGAGAAGAGGAGATGAGGAGAGGAGAGAGAGGGACGGGGTGAGGGGAGAGGAGAGAGGGAAATGGGAGGAGAGAGTATGGACAGGGGGAGGGGAGAGATGGGGGAGGGGAGGAGAGATGGGGAGGGGGAGGAGAGGATGGACAGGGGGAGGGGAGAGATGGACAGGGGGAGGGGAGAGATGGGAGGGGGAGGAGAGGGGGGGAGGGAGGGGGAGGATGGAAAGGGGGAGGGGAGAGATGGACAGGGGGAGGAGAGAGATGGACAGGGGAGGGGAGAGATGGGGAGGGGGAGGGGAGAGATGGAAAGGGGGAGGAGAGAGAGGGGGGAGGGGGAGGGAGAGAGTGGGGAGGGGGGAGGGAGAGATGGAAAGGGGGAGGGGGGAGAGATTGGACAGGGGGAGGGGAGAGTGGACAGGGGGAGGAGAGAGCTGGAAAGGGGGAGGAGAGGATGGACAGGGGGAGGGGGGAGAGATGGACAGGGGGAGGAGAGAGATGGGGGAGGGGGAGGAGAGAGATGGGAGGGGGGGAGAGGATGGGAAGGGGGAGGGGAGAGATGGACAGGTGGGAGGAGGAGAGATGGACAAGGGGAGCGGGAGAGAAGAGAAGAGAGGGGAGGGGGAGGAGAGAGATGGACAGGGGGAGGAGAGAGATGGAAGGGGGAAGGGGGAGAGATGGACAGGGGGAGGGGAGAGATGGGGAAGGGGAGGGGAAGATGGGGAGGGAGGAGGAGAGAGATGGGACAGGGGGAGGGGGCGAGATGGACAGGGGAGGGAGAGATGGCAGGGGGAGTGAGTGTGGACAGGGGAGGGAGATGAGATATGGACAGGGGGAGGGTGGATGAGCATGGACGGGGGGAGGGGGGGAGATGTTTGGGACGGGGGGAGAGGATGGGAAAGGCGACGAGAGGAAAGGGGAGAGGAGGGAGGTAGTAGAAGGAGAGAAAGAGAATTGTCAAGGAGAAGAGAAGGGGAGAAGGAAGAGGTCGACTGTAGTCGGTTCTGGTCCAATATTATGATGAAGGTGACGAAATGTGTTTCCTTTCAGCTTGTGACAGCTGTGTGATCGTCTTGTTGGAGGATCTGGACAAAATGAACAACAGCTTTGGCTCCATTGCTCATCAGCTGACCAACCTGAACGCTTCCTCTATCGCTTGGGCCCTCGCTACCCAACGCCATAGACATATCGCCTGGGAAGCACACAAACAACACACAACACACACAACACCACACACCACACCACCACAACACACACACACAAATTTAGACACACACACACCACACACACCACACCACACACACACACCACACACACACACACACACACACACACACACAAATACTCAATAAATGCACATACATCATATGTTTGTCTAAAAACACTAATTCAATCTGTTGACTGAGATTGACTCTGTTTCCCAGAATGCCACAGAGAACTACAACAGTACTCTGGATGAGAGCAGGAACAGAGTGGACATGTTGGAGGGAGAGATCATGACCATCAACTCAGACATCAATGACCTGGAGGAGAAGGTGATGATGATCTGTGATGACCCTCTCTGTCCACACTTCTCTCTCATTATTTAATCAGTTATTCAGCTCAATGACACTCTCTGTCCACACTTCTCTCTCAATATTTAATCAGTTATTCAGCTCAATGACCCTCTCTGTCCACACTTCTCTCTCATTATACATTTATTATTCTCAGTTTCCTTTTTAAAATGTGTATTATCCTTAATTTTTCACATAAATGTTTATTATTTAAATTCATAACAGTTTCAAGTGTTCAAATACATACATATGTGTATATATTTTTATCCCCACTACTCCAACGTCAGCTTATTGTAATTAATGCAGTTTGATGGTAAGGATGAAGGACAGCTGTACTGATGTAATGTTGTCCTCCCACCAGGTGGTGGCGACTGCAGACAAAGCAGACAGTCTGGGGAATAGCAGCAGTAACACCCATCAGAGAGCCCAGAACCTGCTCTCACACATCAACAACATCATAGGAGAGGTGGAAGGTAGCAGCCTCTGGGAAATCTTTATGGGGGACACTAAATCTGAGTTGATGTTGTCAGTGAAAATTATTCATTAAGAGTTCATCCCTCATTTTGTTGGATTAAAGTACATCCATAAAACATAAAACTCTCATTCTATTAGAGATACACTACATTACCAAAAGGATGTGGACACGTGCTCGTCGAACATCTCATTCCAAAATCATGGGCATTAATATGGAGTTGGTCCCCCCTTTGCTGCTATAACAGCCTCCACTCTTCTGGGAAGGCTTTCCACTAGATGTTGGAACATTACTGCGGGACTGCTTCCATTCAGCCACAAGAGCATTAGTGAGGTCGGGCACTGATGTTGGGCGATTAGGCCTGGCTCGCAGTCGGCATTTCAATTAATCCCAAAGGTGTTCGATGGAGTTGAGGTCAGGGCTCTATGCAGGCCAGTCAAGTTCTTCCACACCGACCTCGACAAACCATTTCTTGGACCTCACTTTGTGCACAGGGGCATTGTCATGGGCCTTCCCCAAACTGTTGCCACAAAGTTGGAAGCACAGAATCGTCTAGAATGTCATTGTATGCTGCAGCTTTAAGATTTCCGTTCACTGGAACTAAGGGGCCTAGCCCAAACCATGAAAAACCGCCCCAGACCATTATTCCTCCTCCACCAAACTTTACAGTTGGCACTATGCATTCGGGCAGGTAGCGTTCTCCTGGCATCCGCCAAACCCAGATTCGTCCGTCGAACTGCCAGATGGTGAAGTGTGATTCATCACTCCAAAGTCCAATGTCAGCGAGCTTTACACCACTCCAGCTGACGCTTGGCATTGCACATGGTAATCTTAGCCTTGTGTGCGGCTGCTCGGCCATGGAAACCCATTTCATGAAGCTCCCGACAAACAGTTATTGTGCTGATGTTGCTTCCAGAGGCAGTTTGGAACTCGGTAGTGAGTGTTGCAACCGAGGACAGACGATTTTTACGTGCTTCAGCACTCGGCGGTCCCGTTCTGTGAGCTTGTGTGGCCTACCACTTCCCTGCTGAGCCGTTGTTGCTCCTAGACGTTTCCACTTCACAATAACACCACTTACAGTTGACCGGGGCAGCTCTAGCAGGGCAGCAAATTGACGAACTGACTTGCCACTGAGCTCTTCAGTAAGGCCATTCTACAGCCAATGTTTGTCTATGGAGATTGCATAGCTGTGTGCTCGATTTTATACACCTGTCAGCAACGGGTGTGGCTGAAATAGCCGAATCCACTAATTTGAATGGGTGTCCACATACTTTTGTACAGTGCCTTCGGAAAGTATTCAGACCCCTTAACTTTTTCCACATTTTGTTACGTTACAACCTTATTCTAAAATGTATTAAATAAAACATGTTCCTCAGCAATCTACACAAAATACCCCATAATGACAAAGCGAAAACAGGTTTTTTAGAAATGTTTGCAAATATAAAAAATTAAAAACATAAGTATTCAAACCCTTTGCTATGAGACTCAAAATTTAGCTCAGGTGCATCCTGTTTCCATTGATCATCCTTGAGATGTTTCTACAAATTGATTGGAGTCCACCTGTGGTAAATTCAATTGATTGGACATGATTTGGAAAAGCACACACATTTACATTTACATTTACGTCATTTAGCAGACGCTCTTATCCAGAGCGACTTACAAATTGGTGCATTCAACTTATGATAGCCAGTGGGACAACCACTTTTTTTTTGTGGGGGAGGGGTGGGGTAGAAGGATTACTTTTATACTATTCTAGGTATTCCTTAAAGAGGTAGGGTTTCAAGTGTCTCCGGAAGGTGGTCAGTGACTCCGCTGTCCTGGCGTCGTGGGGGAGCTTGTTCCACCATTGGGGTGCCAGAGCAGCGAATAGCTTTGACTGGGCTGAGCGGGAACTGTGCTTCCGTAGAGGTAGGGGAGCTAGCAGGCCAGAGGTGGGTGAACGTAGTGCCCTCGTTTGGGTGTAGGGTCTGATCAGAGCCTGAAGGTAAGGAGGTGCCGTTCCCCTCACAGCTCCGTAGGCAAGCACCATGGTCTTGTAGTAGATGCGAGCCTCAACTGGAAGCCAGTGGAGTGTGCAGAGGAGCGAGGTGACATGAGAGAACTTGGGAAGGTTGAACACCAGACGGGCTGCAGCGTTCTGGATAAGTTGTAGGGGTTTAATGGCACAGGCAGGGAGCCCAGCCAACAGCGAGTTGCAGTAATCCAGACGGGAGATGACAGTGCCTGGATTAGGACCTGTGCCGCTTTCTGTGTAAACACCTGTCTATATAAGGTCCCACAGTTGACATAGCAAAAACCAAGCCATGAGGTCAAAGGAATTGTGCGTAGAGCTCCGAGACAGGATTGTGTCGTGGCACAGATCTGGGGAAGGGTACCAAAAAATGTCTGCAGCATTGAAGGTCCCCAAGAACACAGTGGCCTCCATCATTCTTAAATGGAAGAAGTTTGGAACCACAAATAATCTTCCTAGAGCTGGCCGCCCGGCCAAACTGAGCAATCGTGGGAGGAGAAGGGCCTTGGTCAGGGAGGTGACCAAGAACCCAATGGTCACTCTGACAGAGCTCTAGAGTTCCTCTGTGGAGATGAGAGAACCTTCCAGAAGGACAACCATCTCTGCAGCACTCCACCAATCAGACCTTTATGGTAGAGTGGCCAGACGGAATCCACTCCTCAGTAAATGACACATGACAGACCGCTTGAAGTTTGCCAAAAGGCACCTAAAGACTCTCAGACCATGAGAAACAAGATTCTCTGGTCTGATGAAACCAAGATTGAACTCTTTGGCCTGAATGCCAAGCGTCACGTCTGGAGGAAACCTGGCACCATCCCTACGGTGAAGCATGGTGGTGGCAGCATCATGCTGTGGGGATGTTTTTCAGCGGCAGGGACTGGGAGACTTGTCAGGATCGAGGCAAAGATGAACGGAGCAAAGTACAGAGAGATCCTTGATGAAAACCTTCTCCAGAGCGCTCAGGACCTCAGACTGGGGCGAAGGTTCACCTTCCAACAGGACAACGACCCTAAGCACACAGCCAAGACAACAACGGAGTGGCTTCGGGACAAGACTCTGAATGTCCTTGAGTGGCCCAGCCAGAGCCCAGACTTGAACCCGATCGAACATCTCTGGAGAGACCTGAAAATAGCTGTGCAGCAACGCTCCCCATCCAACCTGACAGAGCTTGAGAGGATCTGCAGAGACGAATGGGACAAACTCCCCAAATACAGGTGTGCCAAGCTTGTAGCGTCATACCCAAGAAGACTTGAGGCTGTAATCGCTGCCAAAGGTGCTTCAACAAAGTACTGAGTAAAGGGTCTGAATACTTATGTAAATGTCATATTTTGTTTGTTATATTTGATAAATTAGCAAACATTTCTACCAACCTGTTTGTGCTTTGTCATTATGGGGTATTGTATGTAGATAGATGAGATTTTAAAAAAACGATGTAATCCATTTTAGAACAAGACTGTAACGTAACAAAATGTGGGAAACGTCAAGGGGTCTGAATACTTTCCGAAAGCACTGTATGCCGTCATGTAGCCTCCTGTTCCAAAAACCCAGACAATATAGTTAGGTATAAAGCCTAATATTCTCAGCCTAAAACCCAAAACAAGAGGAAAGCATCACTCATCCACCCCCTCCTCCCTATCATCCAATGAAACAGAGGTTTGGCTTAAAACTAGAGTCTTTCATTTAAACAATTACAAAACAGCCACAACGTAACAAAATTTGGGAAAAGTCAAGGGGTCTGAATACTTTCCTAAGGCACTGTATATATAGTGTATAAAGTACATTTAGTTGGGGTTTTACAGTGCATATAACAAGTGTTTTCTCTCTCTCTGCCTATCCAGACTTCATGCTGCAGAATAACCGTACAGGTCTGAATGAGACGGAGGTGGAGGAGGACCTGTCTGAGAAGATGAAGCAGGTGGAGGTCATGCTGAGAGAGATGAGATTTAAGAGCTGTGTCAGACAGAAGAAGATAGCAGACAGAGAGCTGTCCGAGGCTGAGAAATGTGAGTAGCACCTGGAGCCAGAGAGAGAGAGAGAGGGTGAAGGAGAGGGAGGGAGAGAGAGGAGGGAGGGAGGGGGGATGGAGGAGAGAGAGAGGGAGGAGGGGGATGGAGAGAGAGAGAGAGGGGAAGGAGAGGAGAGAGGGGGAGGGAGGGAGGGGGATGGAGAGAGAGAGGGAGGGGAGGGGGATGGAGAGAGAGAGAGGGTGAAGGAGAGGGAGGGAGAGAGAGGGAGGGATGGAGGGGGATGGAGAGAGGGAGGGAGGGAGGAAGGGAGGGGGGATGGAGAGAGAGAGAGAGGGCGAAGGAGAGGGAGGGAGAGAGAGGGAGGGAGGGGGGAAGGGAGGGAGGGGGATGGAGAGAGAGAGAGGGAGGGAGGGAGAGATAAGGTTCAAGAGTTGGTCTGAAGAAGACAGCAGAGAGCTGTCCGAGGCTGAGAAACATGAGTTCAACTACAGAAATAACATTACTGGAGTGGAAATCCCCATTCAAGTCAAACTTCCTCTGATGGGCAGCTGGTCATATTGACTGTACCTACCCAGAACCTAGGTTGAAGTTAACCTAGGTTAGGACAACCTAATAATTCCATGAGGAAGCTTTTTGAAAAATAAACAGCTTCGTGGGACTAGCGCCATTGCCAACTAGCATCGCTGGTCCCTTTGTTCAGAAATAATTTATGCAAAAAGTTGTGGGATATTAGAATCCTGTTTGTATCCTTGGTTATCGTCAACCTAGCCCATAACCAGGAAGTACTATTTCACTGAGCCACACCTGGAGGAGCTGTGGTCCATGTGTACGTCTGACACGTCTTACTGTACTGCGTTGTATTACTGTACTGCGTTGCATTACTGTACTGCGTTGTATTCACAACCTTCTGGTCATTATACTTAAGGTGTGTTTCTTTTCTCCCTAGTGCTGGAGAAGGTGAAAGACCAGCTGGTGAGTCGTGTGGAGGAGAACGAGGGCTTGGTGAAGGACGTCAGGGAGCGTCTTGGGAAGTTCCACGACCAACTGATGGACCTGAGGGACGCTCTGAACCAGGCGGTTAACAACACCGCCCTCGCCTCCGATACTAACGCTGTTAATGAGAAGAGGATGGAGGAGGGTCAGGTAACACACACACACACACACACACACACACACACACACACACACACACACACACACACACACACACACACACACACACACACACACACACACACACACACACACACACACACACACACACACACACACACACACACACACACACACACACACACACACACATAGGAAAGCAGTATGAGAGTTTATCCACAATCAGACACAGACATCCTTTTTTTACATATTCAACTCTTTTTGACCTGCAATGTTTGAACTCATCATAGTGTTTCTCTCCTCAGCAAAAGGTGGATGAGTTGAATGGGAAGCATAAGGTGGTGGAGGATCTCCTGCAGATGGCAGAGGATGATGTAGCGACCGTCAACGACATGCTGTCTATGCTGCACGACTCCAAGGAGGTGAGCCTCATCCCTTACAGAGTTTAAAAAATATATATATAGTAGTCCCCTCACATATCACCCTCATCAAGACCGTATTAGTCTAAACACTAGGGCCGTGGAAAAAGTGATTAAAACACAGTTAAAGACAGAAAATCCCTAATGTCAGAAACGATCTAAACATTTTACATTACATTTACATTTTAGTCATTTAGCAGACGCTCTTATCCAGAGCGACTTACAGTTAGTGAGTTCATACATTATTAAAAAAAAAAAAATTCATAAACAAAGTCAGGCAGTCCCTGAAAATCTCCAAGCAGATCTCAAGCAGTCTGATTAGAACTCAAACATTCCCATTGTACAATAAAACCTTTATCTAAAAAGACTCCAGCCACCCAAGACATAGACTGTTCTCTCTGCTACCGCACGGCAAGCGGTACCGATGCAGCAAATCTGGAACCAACAGGACCCTGAACAGCTTCTATCCCCAAATAGTTAGTTAAATAGTTAGTTAAATAGTTAACCAATAGCTACCCAGACTATCTGTATTGACCCCTTTTTACACTAACTCTCTCTTGACTCATCACGTACACTGCTGTTACTGTTTATTATCTATCCTGTTGCCTAGTCACTTTATCCCTAGTTATATGTACATATCTACCTCAATTACCTCGTACCCCTGTACATCGACTCAGTACTGGTACCCCTGTACATCGACTCAGTACTGGTACCCCTGTACATCGACTCAGTACTGGTACCCCTGTACATAGACTCAGTACTGGTACCCTGTACATAGACTCAGTATGGTACCCTGTACATCGACTCAGTACTGGTACCCTGTACATCGACTCAGTACTGGTACCGCCTGTACATAGACTCAGTCTGCTACCCCTGTACATCGACTCAGTACTGGTACCCACAGGTACATAGACTCAGTATGGTACCCCTTACATAGACTCAGTATGGTACAC